AACTATACTTTTTTAAATATATGTCTTAACTATCCGGACCAGTAACACACGTTTCCGTATACGTGGATCTTATAAGAGATTTATAATATTGTTTGTTTTTCCGGAAAGAAAAAAAAAAACTCTATTCTTCATCAACTTTTTTGAATACTTTTGTCTCATATATGTATATATATATATATATATATATATATATATATATATATATATATATATATATATATATATATATATATATATATATATATATATATATATATATATATATATATATATATATATATATATATATATATATATATATATATATATATATATATATATATATATATATATATATATTGTTATTGTTTAGTAAACGATCGAATAATTCACATAAACAATTGTATTGTGGGCAACCAAAAAAAATTAGCATTCGCTTATTAAAAGCCTTATAAAAAACTTATTCATTTTGGAAGAAAAATTCTTAACTTATTTACTAAAAGTTTAAGAAAATTGTGATTTTTTAAACAGATTTTTAAACAGATTTATCTAATTAAATACGTAAGCACTCAAACATAAATAATTTTTAACTTTAATGACAAAAAAACTTTTCTCGAAAGTTAAGCCTACAGTAAAACTTTGAGCCTCTAATTAAAATAATCTTTATTTCGCAAAGCAATTGTGAGGACCAGTAAAACGGTAAGCAAAAGTTTCTAGGACTCAAAATAAGGTTTTGATTTAAAAAAAAAAACGAAGGCGGAGGTGTACTTGATTTATGTTTAAAAAAAGATGATTTATTTCAGCCGTTTTTTAATTGAAATCAACTAAGATATGGCTCTCTCCCCTAACCCGTGAATAAAGTAGACCTCCGCCAAAACGAAGACCACATATATTACTGATTTGAGGAGAAATGTAGGAGAATGCTAATTGATCTATACCTACCCCAACTCTAACCCTCAGTCGATGTTAATTTGCATGTTATCTATAAATTTGTCAATAGGCCGGGTGAATAAGGATGAGTAAATTCTATTACTCAGTAATTGGTCAGATTTACGTAAATAAAAATATAACCAATTTTGGTTAAGTTTTTGTTCACGTAAAGCTGACCAATTACTGAGTAAAAGTAACAGCTCATTTTTATTGACTCGCTCTAATGTAGCAGCACTCTCCTACATTTCTCCCCAAATCAGTATCTGGTCTTCATTTTTTTGAAAAATCAAACCTCATTTGAGGTTTGATTTTTCAAAAAACCTCAAATAAGGTTTGAAACCTTATATTTTTATGATTATATTTTAGAAATGAGCATTTACATATATGAGTTTTTCCTGTTTGTATTTTATGCTGAAAAACAGATAAAGATAATTTATATTATATATTTCCCTCCTCATGGCCGGTTTTACTGGTTAAACGAAAGATACTATGACTCTTATGAGTTTCATTTTCATGAAAATGAAACTCATAAGAGTCATTGTATCTTTCGTTTAACAAGTAAAATCGGCCATGAGGAGGCAAATATATAAAATAAATTATCTTTATCTGTTTTTCAGCATAAAATACAAACAGGAAAAACTCATATATGTGAATGCTCATTTCTAAAATATAATCATAAAAATATAATCTACTATATTTTTCTGAATTAAGATTAATGTTTTTATGAAAGAGTACCATAAGTTAACTTGTAAACGAAAAAGATGAAACTTACTAACGATACATGAATGCGTATGAACTCTAAGAAATGAATAGGAAAAGACGGTTCGGCAGATTTTTAGTGGTTTAGGCGCTCAAATCATAATATAAAAATTTAATAATTTTTAAATGTTTTAATTGACCTATTTTTATTACCAGATTTGGCGGAACTAAGGAGATGTTGTTTTAGCATTGTTGGCTTTTTTGTTTGTTTTTTGCCTCCACAGCAGGACTGTCTTATTAAAATTTATTAAAATTCTTTTTTAGTTTCAGATCGTTTTTTTTTCCAGACAATCCGCAGCTTATTAGGACTAATTACGTGGGCACAGTATCTCGATCGTGACACACACGCAACAAATTTCCCCCCGTTTTTTCGTGTTTTTTAAATTTTTAGCTTTATTAAAAATCCAAAAAATTTATAAAATTAAAAAAAGCGTATAACATCGCTACATAGACCATTCAACTTGACTATTCAAATACTTAATATTCGAATATATTTGCATGTTTTTTGACTATTTGATATTTGAATATTTTTTCCAAATACTCGAATAATTTGAAAAATGTAAATCACAGTAAGCTTTGAAAAAAGTACGGTTAATTTCTCTCTTCTTACAAGAAAAAACAAATAAACCCTGAAATAAATAACAAATCTAAGAATTTTTATATAGAATATAGGCTTGACGTGGGAAAATTGCATTTTTGTATGGTTTTAATTTTGTGCGACATTATTTTTGTTAGTTATAAATGTTATAAAGGTTATAAAATGCCAAAAAGTCCGACAACTATTTCAAAATGCATCAACAGCTTTTATAAAGAAAAATTTATTGAACTGCGGGACAAATTTCAAAAATTAAAAACAGCAAATCGTAAATTTGCTATTACAGTGGATGAATGGACAGATTGCACTATTTTACGTTATGTAAACGTAACAGCTCATGTACTTGGAATAAACTCAAATACAATTAAAAGCCATGTTTTGGGTTTGACGGAAATAATTAAGCAGGGAAATGCTGAAACAATTAAACATTTAGTTGAAGCTAAGTTGGCAGACTTTGGGATTATCTTAAAAAATGATGTTATTGCATCAACTAACGACGCAGCAGCCGTTATGAAAAAATATGGCAATATAGGGGAAGTGGGGGCATAACCGCATATGGAGGCACAACCGTTTTTTAACATTTCTCTTTGAAAAATATTATCTAATCTGGCAAAAAAACTACCATACATTAGTAAAACAGTTTTCTTCATTTTTCTTATGTCAAAAAGAGTGCCTGCTATGTTTCTGAGAAGTTGTGCATAATAATGTATATTTTGATAAAAATATTATATTTACATCATATTTTTAAAGACCTTTTTTTTTGAGGATAAAGCAATATTTGATTTTAGTGTTAAAGATATGTGTTATCAGCGTTATTTCATCAAGTAAAAACCATTTTTGATATCAACATAACCTAATAAGCAAGCTATGAAACTGAATTCTTTCTAAAAACTGTCCACTGGGGCAGAACCGCATAGACGCACAGGAGGCACAACCGCATACTTTTATTATTTATCAAAGTTATGTAATTACAAATAACAACAATTACAATCGTCACATTTGAATGCGTTCATGTATAAACTTGAATAGTTTTGCTTTGAGATGATAGAAAAGTTGTTTAAGATGTTAGAAAAGTTTTGTTTTGAGAAAAAGATGTTAGAAAAGTTTTTTTGTTAGAAAAGTTTTGTTAAAAAAGTTTTGTTTTTTGTTAGAAAAGATGTTAGAAAAGTTTTGTTAAAAAAACTTTGTTAGAAAAGTTTGTTTTTTATTAGAAAAGTTCTGTTTTTTGTTAGAAAAGATGTTAGAAAAATTTTGTTTTGAAGTGTTAGAAATTAGATTTCGTATTTTTTTATTTAATTTTTATAAATGAGTTTTTGAAGATAAAGCTAAGAGTATATCGAATAAGAAAACTGAGATTGTAAGTACAAAGAATGCCTACACAGTATACAAACGTGCAACAAAATCAGCAAATAATCTGAGCTATGACAATTGTAAAGAAAATGTACCTAGAACAGTGAACCCCCAACGATTTTTGTGAGGGTGCGGTTGTGCCTCGCAATGGGGGCAAAACCGTTTTTTTCACCAAGTGTAATTTTTGTGTAATAACATTTTCAAAACCCGTTCAATTTTTTTCTTAAATGCACCGATTTAAAGCTTAATGATGCGGCTATTGAAATAAACTGCTAAAAAAACACATTTCGTTTTTATTTTTATATAACATTTATTCAAACGTTACGGGGGCGGTTATGCCCCCACTTTCCCTATTAGGTGTATTAAATCAACTTTGCCACAATCACGCGCTCCATTTAGCTGTCATGGATTGTTTTTATATAAAAAATGTTCCCAATGAAGTGTTTGACGATACCGAAGAGTTTGCTGATGAAGAAATGGAAGAAGAAGATTCCATAGAAGATCAGTGCTCTGAATACAATTTGGAGTTTATTAACGAAAATGTAATGACATTGGATATTGATTTTGACCAAATTATTAACAGGTTAAGAGGTGTTATAAGAATGTTTAAAATTCGGCTACAAAGCATTCTATTTTGCAACAAAATATAGCTCAAAAAATGGGAAAAAAATTTAAGTTAAAATTAGACATGAAAACTCGATGGAGTTCTTTGAGTGTAATGATTCGACGTTTTTTAATTCTATCAGAATGTATTAACAAATCCTTAATCGAACTATTTTTCTTTTTGTTAATATGCCTTTATACTTTTGATAAATTATTCGAGTATTCGATTACTCGAATATTTTAAGATTTTTTTATTTGATATTCGAATAGTTGAAAAGCTCGAATATTTGGATGGTCTAATCGCTACATTTAACTTATTTAACTTCACAAATATTTTTTAAAGATTCTAAAAGATTTTTAAAAAGAGTCGCCGGTGCTTGGACTCGAACCACGGCTTTCTTGTTCAGAAGCTCAGATCAACGTGCCATGCAGGCACGTTGGTCATCAAAATTTTAAAACTATATAAAAATTGTTTTTAATGGAGATAGATGCTGAAGATAAAAAATTAAAGAGAGGTTGACGCAATGCCGTTTTTAAGTGAAAGTCTAACTGTAAAACTTGATATATGTTTAAGTATTTTTAACATTACATAACATGTAGTTTACGTACGTACGTTATAAGTTTCACGTTTGCTCACGCTTTCTTATAAAGCAAAGCTGAGACTCTTTCTCGCCAATACATCAGTTGCAATGGCTGCCAAGGGTTTCGTGTCAAACACGCTCCAAGGGACACTACTACTTCTTAAACTATTAAAACTATTAAGTTCGGCAATAATATATAGAGATTTAATTTTATTAAGTTTTTAACACTTTTATTTAACTTAATAAAAAAAAAAACTACATAATAATAGTTATAGGAAAGAAAGGGTGATGAATACGTGGTAAAGACGAACCAGTAAAAACGGTGTGATTTGAAAGTGATTGAACGGACGCATGCTTTCCAACAGGGATGAACCACTTCTTTCTTAATTGAATCATTGCAGAGAGACTGGGAGAAAAGTTTTGTGATCTAAATACATTTTAAAAACATTAATTTTTAATGTTTTAAACTACAATAAATAATATAAAAAAAAACAAACAGAAATTTACTAAAGTGACTGAAACTGGTTTTTTGCTTCTTTTAAAACATTTCTCTTTATATTTTTTTTTAACTCATTCTTCACAATTAGAATAAAAGTTAAAAATAACTTATGTATTACTTGTTTTCTGATCCAACTCCATCCAAAATAGGTTTGATTGCGTGTAAAACGGTTATTCTATTTGTGTATACATTCCAGGTGACAATATACCCAAATCTGTAAAGTAATAGTTTATTTGACCGCTGATTGACGTCTCCACAAACATTTACATTTTCACGTAAAATAACTAAAGCATTTAAAAGAATAACCACTTCATTTGTAGTTTCACAGACCTACTCGCAAAAAATAAAAAATCATTTCATGACTTATATTAGCATAAATTTACAGTATTTTATATATAAATATATAAGAATGACAAAGAAATGTTTTAAATGCTTACACATCCTAATCTTCAATTACGTGATTGTAATGCATAAATATTATCTGCCTTATGGTATTCATTTTTTTGTGCATCGTTTTCATTCAATTTAGTTTACTGAGTACGAAATATTCGCTCGCCTTTATTTTATTTTTATAAACATAAAACTTGATAATTACTATCTTAAGTGCTTAATAAACAGGGGGATGTTGGACACAAATTATTTTTTAAGTTTATCTGGAAATAGTATTTTTAATGTTAATAAAGGCTCACTCCCTTCGTCACCAGCGTGGCGGATTATCAGTTAAAGCAAAGTAGTCAGTCTAGGGAGGTGACCTTCGAGGACTTTTTACGACTTATTAACGGATATAAACTATCTGTTTTTAAGACGTAAAGCCTTATAAATTGATTTAATTTAACCGATATCCCATGAAATGCGCGCACCAAAAGGGGTGAAAGCGCTGCACCAGGGTAACACCAGTACATAAGAGTTTATGGACTTAATAATATTTTTATATTTTAATTTTCTAAAGCATTTTTTGTTTTACGTAATTTTCATAAAACATTTGAATTAAATTAGTATTAAAAAAATCATTACTTTTATCAATTTAACCGGACAACCTTATGACGTATATTTATTCTACTTCTGAATATATCGGTTTCATAAATCCGATATAGCGTTGGTTAATTACTAATAGAAAAAAAAAATTATTAAAGCCCAATTATAAAAGTTGTCATTGGTTAAAATTACAAAATTTGTTTTCACTCAAGGGGCATTCATAAAGTACGTACGCGGTAAAACCACTGATTTAGGACCTCCTCCCAATTGTACGCAACTGTATTCTTTTAACGACCTCCCCCTCCCCTTGATATTTTAAACTCGTGAAAATCCATGTTATTTACTATTTTGTTTTTTTAAAGAAAGAAATCAGGCTTTAAGAGAGATAGAAACGAGAGTCAAACCGCGTACATACTTGCTATCTTCATCACCCCACCCCTTACGTACGTTTTTGTGTAAACCTCCCTTCTCCCCTTTGGTAATTCGCATATTATATTATATCATAAATCTGTATTTAGTTGTATATTTCTTTAACATGTTATATACTAAATAATATTAATAATGATTTATCGATTCCCTAAACAGTTATGAAATATGTTTTTATCAATCTTTGAAAAAAAGAGTTGAAGAAAATTTTATGATATTTTTATTTGTTTATTAACTGATATTTTTAGATCAGATATTAGATTATAGACATCTTTTATTTTTAATTTCTAATCAAGAATCTGATGATAGCATCGCAAAATTAATTATGCTGCTACCAAATCAAGTCTCGCTTTGATTTATGAAATGGTTAATTATAGAGTTTAGGGAATGCGCTTTATCAATTATCTTTTTTGCAACATTTTACTAATAACTGACCCTAAAGCATTAAAGCCTATAGGCCTCAATATTTTAGAGGCAAATGGTCTGGTCTATATTACTAGTCGCAAGCATTATACTTTCGCGCGAAGCAACATTAAGAAATGCATTCAGAGAAAAGACTTCTTCTTCAAAAACCTCCTCGAAAATTAGTATAATTTTAGCATTTTTGTGTTTGTTTATATTTAAAAAAATTACTTTTTTCTAAGATAAATTTTCTTGCTCTAATGTTTTTAGAAATTTTTAGCTTTTTTGAAATTCTGACCCTCCAGTTTATTAAGAGTTTTAAAAGGAGTAAAAGAACAACTGTAAATTTGATTCATGATTTTAAACCCTGGCAAATTAAGTTAAGAAAAATTCGCTCTAATTTTCTCGAAAAATGAAAATGATTAAATAATGCGTAGAAACATAAAATAAATTATTTAAATGTAATAAAATATTAATGGTCATTTATTATCGATTACTACTAATGGTAAATGATAAATACTAAATGGTAAAAAATGGTAATAAATACTAAATGGTAATAAATACTTAAGTCAAAAATCTTTATTTTCATTTAAAACTAATAACTTAATAACGTTAATTATGCAATTTGCTCTTAATTATGCAATTTGTTCTAAGAACGCTCTAGCAGTGATGAAACAAACCAATGTTTTTTCTAAATGCTGAATTTTTAGGGTTAAAGATTAGCTACAGAGCTTAAGAAATATTTTTGTTAAGATATTTTTAACTTAAAATTTAAGTTTTTTTATTTAGTAAGAACAAAAAACATGTTTGGCATATTAAATGTTCTTATAGAAACGCAACATTAAAAAAATTGATAATGCAGATTTTCGTTTTTTTTTTTTACATTCACAATAAATACTCACAAAACTGTTCGTTTAAAACTGGTAATAAACGCCTGAAAACATTAAAACAGCGTTTAAATAAATAATAAAGTTAAGATTTTATGAATGCCTTTAGCTGAATTGCCCTATAGGATGAAAAGACAATTTTTTAATGTCTAGAAAAAGTGTATAGATATATATTTATAAACAAAAGCTATTCTTGAGAGAAATTTCAAAAAATTTATTAAAATTCTCTAACAAAATAAATAAAAGAATTGTGTAATGTAGATGGCGTCAATAAAAGCAGAAAAAATAAAGCCATGGACATTTTTAAGGCAATTGAAAATAGAGATATTAAAAGAATAAATAAACTAATTCGCAGAAAAAAACAATGTGTTAACGAGAGAAGGAACAACGAAACTCCACTTCATTTAGCATCAGAAAGAGGCTATAACGAAATCATTCTTTTATTGTTAGAAAATGGAGCCCAAGTAAACACAAATAACGGTTCACCTTTAAATTCTGCATGCCAATATGGCCATCTTGATGTTGTCGAACTACTGCTAGAATATGGAGCAGATGCAAACACTGGTTGTAACATAGGCAATACACCACTCCACACCGCAAGTGGATGTGGAAATATTGGCATAATCTGTGCTTTGTTGAAACACAATGTCGATGTGAATGCAAAAAACGTGGATGGTTGGACTCCACTACACAGAGCAAGTTACCACGGAAAGTCTGATGTAGTCAACTTGCTTTTAAAAGAGGGGGCAGACCCAAGCATAAAGACGAACACTGGTAAAACACCTTATGATTTAGCTTGTAAAATGCAAAATTATGAAGTCGCAGAACAAATATACAAATACAAACGCGAAACTAAATTAAAATCAAGTGAGCATGTTAAGTGTCAAGAAAATGATCAAAATTTAAACATAAAATCTTTTTTTCAATCAAAAAAAGATCAGCTTACAGCTTTTATTTCCAGGAAGCGCGAAACAAACTTTAGTAACAACCAAAAATCAGATGAAGGCACGCAAGAGCATCTTCCACAAGGGCGTAATTCTCCGCCACCTCCACAAGGTTTTCGAATAGAAGAAGTTCCAATAGAAAAAGATAAAGACAAATGGAGAGAGTTAAAGGCGAACATGTTGAATTTTGAAAAACAATTTAAAAGCAATACATCTAACACCGTAAAAAAAATCGCAGAATTAAAAGTATTTGGAAATCAAAATATGCAAAAAGAACCAGAGAATGATAACAACGATGATAAAAACGATGAAAACGAACACGAATGTCCTATCTGCTTCGAGCTCCCTCTTCCTCCAGTACATATATACCAGTGCAAAAACGGTCATTTATTTTGCGGAAACTGCAAAGACAAGCCAAATATGGAAAAATGCCCTCAATGTGCAGTAGATATCTGTGGAGTCGCATTTCGAAATCGTTATGCAGAAGAAAATATAAAAAAAATTTATAAAGATAAAATAAAGTAAACAACAACGAATCGAAAACAAAAATTACCTCAGCAAATTGCATGTCGTAATCTCGCAATGAAACATATCTCTCTTTCACCTCCTCTATTTCCTGAATTTTTTCATTCAAAAAAGTCTCAGCATTAAATTGCGCCTGACCAACAACAAAATCTGCATCAATAATAGAACTGGATTGATCTACAAAGCATCGATGTTCGCATGAAACATTTAATCGTTTATCATTAAAAAAAACTTGAACTGGCAAGACAATAGACGTGCAATCAAAAAAACTTTCAGGAGATTCCTCTAGTTCTTCTTCGTTCTGCAAAGAAAATCCTTGTATAACATATGAAACGCACGACGGTATTCTAAAACTACTGACATTATTCTCTTCATTGACAATAAGGCCTGATAGTTCAGATTCTTCTTTGATTTTAAGAAAGTTATCAATTATAGGAACGGAATATTTCCAGATACCACAGTAACATAATTTATTTTGAAAAACGTTTTTCGATTTGAAACAATTGCCACCATTCAATATAATTGCAAACAATATATCACCAGAGTTAAGTAAAATAACATTTTTTAATTTTACACATACTGATATCATAAAAGGCGGATAAGGTGGAAGAAGTTCGTAGCGGAGGTTGATTGCGTATTCAGATTCGCTATTAATATTGGTTGGAATTACAGAAAGATAACATAAAGATCCGTTGTCAGAATAATCATTACTAGAGAAAATAAATCAAACTTTATTTATAAGACAAGTTTTAACATTAGTTATTCAAATTATAGCAAAAATAAATAATGCAACTAAATACATATTGATTTTGTTTGTTTTTTATTACTAATTTATAATATATATAACCATGATTTAGTACTAAAAAAAAATTTTTTTTAAACTTTTAAAAATCATAAGGGTCCTTTTAGGGGGTATAAAAGAGGGAGATTTTTAGGACGTTTTGCACCATTTTTAAAACTGTTTGTAGGAAGTCTTGACATTAAAATTTTTGATTTTTTTTTATATTTATGTTTGTTAAGATTTATTTAATCTAAATAAAATGAGCCCTACTCTCTCTCAAAAAAAAAAAAAACTTAAAAAAATTGTTTCAAAAAACCCTAAAATCTATAAATATTAAGGAAAGCTCTTAAAAATACAAAATACTCTAAAAATTTTCTTGAAACTCATAAAAGTACATTATTTTTTTATTTATTTTTGATACAGTACAATATTGATTTCTCACTTATAATCAGCTTTAGGAACGATTCTTGGAAATATATAAAAGAGAAGTCCTAACCAGGGAAAGAAAATACTAAAAAAAAAAAAAAAATTAAATTATAAAAAATTTCATCTCAATAGTTGAAGTTTCATTTAAATTAAAATACAGTAAATTTATGAATTTTTTTATTCTTCCCTAATGAAGTGATATTAACAAAAAAATATACATAAGAAACTAGACTTTATTTGTTTTTGTACAAGCGGCTTTTTGTAATCCATTTTATTAAAGGAAAACTGTCACTTGAACATCTTTGTAAACTGTACAGTTTTTTAGCCATATCGCCACGTTCCCTACATTCTTTATCTTCTAGGGCAAAAACTACTAAAGTGGGATCTAGATACTAAGTATGTCTGAGAATAAATCTTGCAACAGCTTGAGAGCCAAGTACATTCCATTCCTCAAACCTTTCCCTTTGCCAGTAAACTTTCATATCCTAATAAATAATATCCATTTACATTTTCAATTACTTTAATCAATAATAAGCTTTCTAACTTATTAAAAAAATAATAAAAAACTGATAGCTGTGTTGGTGCCAAAGAACTTAACTGCTTTTAGAAACCACTCTGTATAGAAAAGACAAATGAATAAAGCCATACCAGTTATTTCTTCTTTATGTTAGTCAGTCAGGTTTTGGATTTCATTCATAAAGATACAATTTTAAGTAGTATAAACCTTTTCCTATAAATCTTGAATGGCGAACTGGTCCCGGTAAATTAAATTTAAACCTATTTGATGATAGAACTATTAAAGTATGTTCAACCAGCTCATGGTATTCTTTTCTTATATTTCTGTCCTAAAAGGTTTTGGATATATTATAAATTTGTAATAAATGAATTTATTACAAATTTATAATATTTAAAAAATCTTTTTAAAAATAAAATTTAATAGAATATGAATAAAAATAAAAATATTACCTTTTTGAAGATCTTTAAACTAATCGCATTATTGCAAAACTGAACAGCAGCCAGTTTTTGATTATATATCCATGTTCCAGGTGGTAATATAATTTTTTTCAGTTCCCTAGTTTTCTTTTAGAACTTCAAATAGTATATATAAATTTTCTGGACCAAAAGTTTCGCTGCTTGGGTAAATCTTCCAGAAATGGGCTATGTATCGCTCTGTATGCAATCAACAACAAGGGACGCTAAACTTGTTTAATTATTCTCATGCAAGTACCTTGCCATTTTCCTGTATTTGCTAAAGTTGTGACAAAACAGAGACATTTAACCTTATCTTTTAATCCAAAAAACTCCATCGATTCTACAATAGCTTGCTTTTGATTAACCCCTGAACTAGAATCTATCGGAGGCATGCCAAGTAGTTCTGTTTTTGCATTAATCCTTACCAAAACTGCAATTCTATCTTTTTTAAATTGCTTTCCCTTTATTAATTCATTAACAATTTTCTCATCAAAGTGTATAGTCACAGTATCTTTTATGGTTTCTTTTATTTCTTTAGCCCTGACAGATATTATGTTCTCTGCAGCTCTATAAGATGTGGATTTAGAACATAGAAGTCATGACAATAACACTTGTAATCAATGCTGTATATAGGTGGGGTGTTATACCTTCTCCCACTGCTGTATGAGCGGTTGACTGAAGAATAATTTTATGAAGAAGAACAGAATTGTGAATATTAAAATGTGTATTAAAATCAAAGTCAACATCTGTTTTCTCGTCTAATTTGTCGCTAGTGTAACTAGTAGAAATTCGATAATCTAAATCATTCTTATATAATTCTGCTGATAGGTTTCTATTTAACTTTAATGTGTGTCTTTTACTTCTTACTACAGAATACTTATATCTTTTATCTCTACCTCCAAGACATCCTTTTCTTTCACTAAGCTGGTCTTTTAACAATGCAATATCTTTCTCTTTGTCTTTCACTTTTCTAATTTTACCTTTTAATATTTCTTCAAACATAACATGAGGATGTTCTCCAATCCAAAATACCTTATTCATTTTCTCTTTAAAATAATGTCTTTTTTTTATTTCAGTAGGATTTGTTCTGTGTCTTTGATCTTTTAATTTCATCCACTCCTTCAACAGTTTCTCAACTTTAATCCTGTAAAAATATTATTTAACAGCATATTTATGTAATAAACATAGATTAAAATAATTTAAAAGTTATTGAAAATATTACTTTAGCTTTTGTATTGTAAGCACTTTAAATCCACCAAGTATCCAGGGAACCATTAGTTTGGACCTATGAAGCAGTAGGACTGATCAACTCGACAATTGGGTATAAAAGAAGAACTTTTGTTAAGACAACTTACTAAGAACTTATATATAACTTCACTTTTTCTTCACACTTTGATTTTCGTAGAAAAAGATAAAATTGAATAATTTCTTTAGCAGTTGCAAATTTTTTTTGCTTTTTTTGCAAAAAAAAAAAAAAAAAATTTATGAACTTTTAATTTTTTTTTGAGAGTAGAGCCCATTTTATTTAGATTAAATAAGTCTTATCAAACATAAATATAAAAAAAAAAATCAAAAATTTTAACATCAAGACTTCCTATAAACAGTTTTAAAAATGGTACAAAATGTCCTAAAAATTGCCCCTTTTACCCCCTGAAGGAACCCTTCAGGGGGTAAAAGGGGCAATTAACACCCTAATATATATATATGGGAAGTGGGGGCATAACCGCATACAGAGGCACAACTGATTTTTAACATTTCCCTTTGAAAAATGTTATCTAGTATGGCAAAAAAACATACCACGCGTTTGTAAAACGGTTTCCTTTATTTTGCAGTGTTTGAATTTTGAGCTCAGTACTAGCAACTTTAAGTTAAATATGATGAAATAATGTGAAAATGCATTTCAATTTTATAAAGGCATATTCCTTTAAGTGTTCATTAAGTTTAGTTTATATTTTCTCCAGTGGTACATTAAATGATACTTGATAAGTCTAAGTACCATAAATTAATAATACCTAGTCTTAACTCAACCCCAAGAAATTCTAACATGTCGTAAATTTACCCCCATCAAACCTGAAATAAAGCTAATAATATATTACGAGAATAAATGCGTTTAACATATTCTGCTTTATATTTAAGATTGTTAAAAAAAAAAAAGATAATTTATTCTTGCTACAGCGGGGTTTATTTTAATCAGTTGTTTATTATCAATCTTTTCTACTTGTCATCTTTTGTTGGCTAGACAAGTTGGTTTCTGTTGTATTGAGTATTAAGAAAAAACATTCGCCAGCACAAGAATTGCAACTAAACACTTTGTTCTGGGTCAGCCTGCAATTATGAAAAAAAATCAACTTCCTTTAAATATCTAGTGATGTTTACAGAGTGATTACTACTTAAAGCACAAAAAATGTGATTGAAAGTAGAAGACTGTGCTGTAGCACAGGAAGTTCAAAGTGTCTACAACACAGTGAGTATCCCAGCAACTGATAAAAAGAGTGTAGTCAACCGTATAAAGAAATTAATTGATAAAGTTAAGGGTCTTATAAATATCCCAGTTCTAAGAAGACATCTATCACTTACCAAGACTGTTTGAAATCATTACAAACTGTATTTGATATATATACTTGTAAATGTGTTGACATCGGTGCACAAGAGAACTCGCAATGCATTTGTCCACTGTGGCATAAAATACCTCCAATAGAATGGTCTTTCTGGTTGGACCAAAAAACTGTAAGGAAAATGTATTTTGATGTTATAGATAAAAAGGCTACAGCTAAGTTCCATGAGAAAGAGATGAGAGCAGTCAAACGTTTGAAATTTGGGTACAATCAGAAAATGAAATATGAGACAAAAGTGAATTACATCTAAAGCAACATGAGTGATGATGCTGATGATAGTGGTGATGCCATAGAACTGCAAATAAACATGAGTGATAAAGTTCTTGACAGTGAAATTTCCAGTGGTAAATCTAATGATGGTGTTGGAGCATCCAGAAACATGAAGCAATATCCAGAAATGAGCAAAACATTGGACAAATGCAAGATTAGTAACAAAGATGTCTTATAGTAAATGCAGTGCTAAAAGATATGAAACTATTGTCAGCAAACACTGCAATAGATCCTGCAAAACTTAGACGCCAGAATGGTCTGCAGATCTTAGACAGTCTTTGGTGGCAGAATTAAGTTTCTAAACAATGGTTTGTTTGACTGTTGCATACTAATAAACTACCATTTTGGAAATACACTTCTGCTATTGATGGAGGATCTACAAGAGGTCCTAGTAGTTCCAGTGGTGCAATGAGTGCACTAGAATTTGATCTCAAGGACTTGCCAATTTTAAAATTTAAAGTGATGCTAGAAAGTGGTTGAGGTTAATGATGAGGCACAGAACAATCTAAGTAAAGGTCAGAATTATCTTTTTAGGGCATGATTAGCAGTGCAGCAAGGTTATACAAATAGTGAATAAATTATGTCTTTACAGAATACAATGGCAGGAAGCCATTGAAGATTGTAGAGCAAGATAGATCTATGTTGC